CTCCGACGTCGAGTGAGCTCGGAGGGACTCCCCCGATTCGAAAATTCATTTCTTCCATCCTAATTGAGATGAAGGATTGAATCTGATGCCGATCGATCGAGAATTAAATTCTCAATAAATGACAACGATTTCATTCCTTAATCTCAAGTAGGAACGGAGGAATGAATTTTCGAACGCGCGGAGAAATCCCGAATGGCTCTCCGGCGTCGAGTGAGTCCGGAGGGGCTCCCCTGATTGGAAGATTCATTTCTCCCCCTCCCCCCTAATTGCAAAGAGGGAATTAAAGTAACATCTATCGATCGAGAATAATATTCTCAATAAATGACAGTGGTTTCATTTCTTAATCTCTATTAGGAGAGGAGGAATGAATTTTCAAAGCGCGCAGTAACTCCGAACAAGTTCTTCTCATTCAAAAATTAATTTCTCCCCTCCCTAATTGAGATGAAGGAATGAAACCAAAGTCTACAGATTGAGAATTGCATTTTTAATAAATGACATCGGTTTCATTTCGTAATCTCAGTTAGGAGCGGAGGAATGAATTTTCAAAAGCGCGGAGAAACCCCGAACGGCTCTCCGACGTCGAGTGAGCTCGGAGGGACTCCCCCGATTGGAAAATTCATTTCTCCCACCCTAATTGAGATGAAGGATTGAAGCCGATGCCGATCGATCGAGAATTAAATTCTCAATAAACTCTGTCAATCTCAAGTAGGAGCGGAGGAATGAGTTTTCGCACGCGCGGAGAAATCCCGAATTGCTCTCCGGCGTCGAGTGAGTCCGGAGGGGCTCCCCTGATTGGAAGATTCATTTCTCCCCCTCCCCCCTAATTGCAAAGAGGGAATTAAAGTAACATCTATCGATCGAGAATAATATTCTCAATAAATGACAGTGGTTTCATTTCTTAATCTCTATTAGGAGAGGAGGAATGAATTTTCAAAGCGCGCAGTAACTCCGAACAAGTTCTTCTCATTCAAAAATTAATTTCTCCCCTCCCTAATTGAGATGGAGTAATGAAACGAAAGCTTGGCGATTGAGAATCATATTTTTAATGAATGACGTCCGTTTCATTACTTAATCTCAAGTAGGAGCGGGGGAATGAATTTTCAAAAGCGCGGAGAAACCCCGAACGGCTCTCCGGTGTCGAGTGAGTCCGGAGTAGTCCAATGAACGAAGGTCTAACATACGAATGTTTGCTAATCAGGCTCCATTTTTGATACAATTTGTGATTTGGGCGTATGAAACTCATGGCGGATGTTTAAGGTTCCCCAAGATTGTACGGGGGTTGAAAAAGCCAAAAAACTACCCCTGAAAACCGTTTTTTCGAAATAACTCGTGAATAAAGTGCTGTACGTCCAAAAACGTGGTATACAAAGTTGTAGAGCTCCAAATTCTACACAAGGATGTTTGTAATTCGGAATATCAGTGTTTTTTTTTTCAATAGCTTGTTTATTTATTCAGAGCGAATTTAATATATGTTGCTATTTATATCTTGACATTGAATCAATGAATTTCTTTTTTTTTTCTTCCATATTTTTTATTAGAACATTTACCACAAATTTTGCTTTGATCGTACCCGCGAATCTCCTATGGATTCAAAGTTAAACGTAATTTTCTAGCTCCAACCCCTAAATCCGGCGCCGGAAATGAGAACCTTTTGTCCGAGAAAGAAATCTCCGTCTCGCTCCCACTCCCTACAGCATAGTTCCGACCATTTGCGCATGCGCGCACGGGCCTGTGGAACATCACGGACTGAATGCGAGAAAAAGAATCATTTGA